GCCCTTCTCTGAACTCTCTCGATTTCATAAACATCTTTCCAGAGGATTGGTGACCAAAACGTTATTGCATACTCAAGGTATGGCCGAACTGGTGATTTATAAAGTGGTAAAATTATGTTTTTATCCCTCAAAAGGATCCCTCTTTTAATGCAGGATAGTATCTTGCTTGCCCTGCTGGCCACTGCTTGGCATTGCATACTATTGCTGAATCTGTGATCTATGAGGACCCCCAGGTATTTCTCCATGTCTGTCTTCCCCTTGGCTCCCACGTGCATAACCTTGCATTTTTCAACATTAAATTGCATCTGCCATCTTGCGGCCTATTCCTTAATTTTATCTATCTGCCATTTGCCATACATGCAGAGCCATCAAACTCGTCAGTTCCAATTCCAATGTACTGTCCTATTCATGGGATTAGGTTCACGTAACTATACCATCCTCTCAAAACTGTGCCTACGGCCCTTAGAAACATACCTGCAATCCCTATATACATACCTAAATCCACATGCTTATGCCAGTTGATTGCCACCTGCAGCTGGGACAACAGAATGCAAATTCTCTAAAAAAAACTCTTCTGCAAATATATGTTGTGCTCTTTTGTATATAGGTTTTTACTGAGATCTGTGATCCCATTGCAGAGATTCCCCCTCATTTCCTGTTTGCTTAGTAAGTGATAGGAAATCTGTCTGGTTGAGACACAATGGGGAATGAACAGCGTGGATGAACACACCTCCCCTAACAACTATTGTGTTCTGGCAGTCGACTCTGCAGCTGTAAGAACACCTGAACAGTGACTTTTCTCTCCTGGTCAGTGACTTTTTTCTCCTGGACAGTGACTTTTCTCTCCTGGCCCGTTACTTTTCTCTCCTGGACAGTGACTTTTCTCACCTGAACAGTGAGATTTCTACTCTGGCTTCTTTCATTTTTCAAAGTTTGACAACCCAGGCAATGCCGACAGGGTCACCCATTGCTCGAATTATGAACATTTCAGCGAGAATTAGCCAAAATTCAAGCTGTGTATGGCCAACATTAGAAATTCTGTCAGGTAATTATTACTCTCTGTGTCTTCCTGTCCCGTTGACAGCTGGTTCTCACTTCTTGCCCTGAATTCACAGGGACAAGAAGTGAAGTGGTATTTCCTTAACAGGCTCAAGGACAGCAATACAAATGAGACAAATTAATACTCTTCCCAAGTCTATCCAAGATAGACTATCCCAAAAAAAATTGGTCTGGAGTTGGACCTAAATCCACGGCTGTTTCAAATATCCAGTCATGTCTCAGGGAAGAAATTTTTCATGTCTGCACAACTGAGTGCAGTTTTATCGTGTCAGCATAAAAAAATACTCTATTAGTTTATCCTCTTCATAATGTAAATGTATAGATTATCTGTAAATATATAACGTTGTTTGGTTTTACATTAGTAATTTAAGCTCCTGGGAAGGTTTTCGACTTGAGAGGTTTCCTTTCAAAACTCTAAACAAAGATGGAAATACCCTTTTACCACCAGACCACAATAAAATACATGGAGTGTGTTAAGGATCCCTAGGGAAGCCGTCCCTGCGTAGGCATTACATGTCATTATCTGTTCATCATTTAACACTGGGTATAAACCAGTCCATAAAATACCAGAGATTCTAAGCACAGGGACCAACAAACACTAATGAACTGGAAAAAGAAATATTAGAGGTCCATAGCATGTGACTACATACTTACGTGAAGGGCAGCTGCAGCCTTTCTCCTTTTATAAAAGGAAACCTGGGTCAAATAGGCACTTTGCTAATTAGCGTGCTACCAGAAAACACAGATTGACAGCAGCCTGGAAATTGGAAACTTCACTCCACTCATTTCTAAAGATAAATACTTTTCACAGATAGTCCACCAGAGAATTGCAGGACCATTCACATGTAAATTGTCAAAACCCCAGAACTCATTCTTCCTCTTAGGGACTCCCTGTCTATATCAACAAGAAACCGATCAAGAGCAATTACAGCCCAATCTGGAAGTACTGACCATGGGTCTAATCCTGAAGAAATATTTGCACAGAAAGTAATGTAACACCACTGGGAAAGCCTGGCTTCTGAAGGGGAATGTTACAATTATGCATGGCAAGATGCCATTGAGAATGAGGATTGCTGTGATGGTCTTACATAACTGCAAAGAGATTATATACAGCTCCACGCAATCACAACTGTGGGCCTATCCCTTTCTCATATAACAGAATGCAAAATGTGTAATTGGAATTCCATACGCATATTATTTTAATTTTTGATGGTGTATGAGCTGCGTGTCATGGTGACAGTGGGTATAAAATTCCATTCGTCATCAGCAAAGGCAATTTTTCACCTATTTTTACTTTGGGATGTAGCTTTTTTGGTTAGAAAATTGATTTATGTTCTTCTGCTTAACAACTTTTACATCTACCTGGCATTAAAGCAGAAGTCTAAAAAATTTAAATTTACATTGGGTTGCAAGTGTTAGTAAACCAAGTTATCTGTTTTACATCCGGAGCTGTTGGTTCCTTCCATTTTAGTGAGATTACCTTTCTGGCGTAAAAGAGCAGTAAGTGTATTAGCTATAAGAGGTATTTACCCCATGTATGACTTGGTAATATAGCAAGGGGGTACAATTCTGTGAGGTATGGCAGATCATACCACATGTCAATAGCTGGTGTATATGTTGCCAGTAAGGTGATGTTTAAACAGAAGATCAGAATGATCAGACATGCAAACATATGCTGATGTTGTAGAGAAACATTAACATTGGGCTGAGTGGCTAATTCCTACGTTATACATTTTGTAGGAGTGTAGTATAGTTGGTGGAAAAAGTAAAACTGCAAATGAAGATATTGTGTAATGGCAGCTGTTGAGAAGGACCAGACTTTATCAAAGGGAACAGGGGTCTGGTGTCAGAGAAAATGGTATAGGTTCATAACTTGCTTAGGGGTAGCCATTGTGCTTAGCATGCTTTCAAGAGAACAGACCAGTTAAATGTTAATGTTCCTAGTTGGGCCTGAACAGCATGTCGAAGAGTGAGGTACTTGTAAAAGTGACATTTATCTAGTTTAAACCCCTTAGTGACCAGTGACGTACATAGTATGTCACTGGCATCGGGCCCGTTTAAACAGAGTCATCGGGACTCTGTTTACATTTGTAAAGCAGACTTTCGGCTTTACAATAGAAGCGATCCTGGCAACTCAGCTGTCGCCAGATCGCTTCTACGAGCCGATAAAGTGCCCGTCCGACACCCCCGCTCCACTGCATCCTCTGCGGGCCAAGCTGGGTAGAAGAGCGGTGAGCGTCCATTCACCGCTCTCCTCCCCGTTCTATGGGACCAGGAGCGACGCTTATTGCATCACTTTCGGTCCCATAGCTGTCATTACTCGGCTCCTGAAGCACAGCAATAAGCTATTAAAGTGTGATCTACACTTCAATAGCTTATTTAGAGTGTAAAGGTGATACTAGGGGTCTTTTGGACCTCAAGTATCACCTTTTATCAAATTGAGGGCTTGTAAGTAAATTAAAATAAAATAAAAAATTACAGTTTTTAAAAATAATATCATAAAAATATGTAATTTTTGTTTTTTTGTTTAAAGTCCCCCGCCCCGCGAGCACCCGCGTTGTAACGTAAACACACGTCGGGTGTGCCTACATACGAAAATGATGATTGTGCTACACATGTTGGGTATCAACGTTCACACTAGAGTGAGAGCAAAAATTAATTTTTAATATTTGTGTGTATCTCAAAACTGATGACCTGAAGGGGCTTTTAAAGCATCGTCTATGGACTTTTTGGGGTCGCCGTTTCACAGACGCACACAATTTTTAACCTGGGCAAAATGGGTATCTTTTTTCAGAACTAGTTTTTTCAGAACTAATTCACCCACAGAATAATCACTATTTATTTTATTTTAATTATATATTCAATTGCGGTGTAGTGGATTAATAAGTCTCCAGTTAACCGCCGACACACAATACACTGAGCGACTGCACACACAGGTGGATTAAACACTAATCACCAACTTCAAATAATTAGTAATCACGTTTATTGAATCACTCACACATAAATGATGGTGTTTAATCCAGCAATACCAAGCACAACATATTAGTTACATTGTTGATGGTTTTCATCACACATTGTTGCAGCTGGTGACATTTGACACATTACTTCTCCTAGCGCAACTATTTGTTTATTTGAAGTTGGGTATCTCTTTACTTAACCTCAATGGGTATTTTATTGTGTTTTGGGGCACTAAATTTTACTTACGTGCATTTTTCACTAAATTGTTGGTTTTGATAATAGGTTGCACTAATATCATGCAACATAAACATTTGCAACTGCCACCATTTTATTCTACAGGGTCTTGGCTTTCAGAAAATAGATAATGTTTGGGGTTTGAAGTAATTTTCAGGCCTAAAATGTTGATTATAACATGTATGCGGGGAAAAAAAGGCCTCAGTCATTAAGCGGTTAAAGTTTCAGGTGTTCAAAAGAGAAAAATGGTACTCTGTACATATAACTGATTAATACATTTTCAGTCAGAGTGGTTACATTTTGGAACTCTCTTCCACAAGCAGTGCTATCAGCAGAGAGTATTGAATCTTTAAAAAATCATTTAGATACCTTCCTCAGAGACCATAACATACAGGGGTATAGGTACTCTTAAAAACTAGACCACACAGGGATTCATATACAAACACACACAAACACACAAAGGTTGAACTTGATGGACCTGTGTCTTTATTCAACCTCAAATACTATGTAACTATGTAACTGAAACAGGGTGTCCCATGGGAAGATTTCAGGTTGTGTTGGTCCAGTAGGAAAAATAACATATTTTTCCAGGTTAACTTGAAGGTACCAAATATTTTAATAATCCTTACCACATTTACCATCTACGTAAATTAGGGTATCACCTGTGAAGCAAGAAATGCTTTCCTGTATTTTCTAAATGTTTCTAGTGAGACAATTGTGTATGAAAATATATTTTACTTTTTTTACAGACAGGTCAGCTGGAGTGTGTGCGGTGGATGGTTAGTGAGACGGAAGCAATTGCAGAGCTAAGTTGTTCGAAGGATCACCCTAGCCTTATCCACTATGCAGCCAACTATGGTCAGGTATGGTTTTTTTTAACTTTCTATGTGGTTTATAAAACATGTGAGGATACAGAATAAGTAAAGATGATGTCTTCTCATTCAGCTGCAGCAGTACAATGTGTAACTTGTTGCTAACTGAACATTTTCTAAAGCTAGCACAATCTTTATCACACAGATACTTGTAGATTTTGATTTAAAAATGTTAAATATGTAGAAGGAAAGCACCAAAACAAGCCCTAAGAAAGCGGTATTGCTACTTTGGGGCTCCACAGTCCACTGCAGAACTGTTTATGCTCCCAGAAAATTATTAAAGAAAAATGCTGAAAAGCAAAATATCTGTGAGAAGCATCAAATAAAAGTTGCTGTTTCATCAAAGTTGCTGAGTCCATCATTTTTTTCTGTATACTTAATCTTTGTGTCATTGACCCAATAGCAGTAGCATGGGTTACTGTGACTGCCGGATGACCTTTAGGAAAGGTAGTGTGCATGCCTAAGGTGAAATGCAGGAACTGAGCAATTGTGAATGTAACAAGCAAGCAGAGGCCAAGTTTTAAGGCAGTTTTGGAAGTGTCATTGAAAGGATTTGGAAAAATATAAACCAGAGACACAGCTAAGCAGACATTTATATAGATGAGCTGAGGCTCAGCTGAGCCAATATCCAGCTTGTACTAAGAGGCAGCCTTCCAATGCACTTTGGTTTAGTTCACAAATTCACTTCCTCAGTTGTCAGCAGGTATCATACTGATAAGGCTAAACTTTACATATGCCAATATTTTGATTGTAACGCCTATTTCCCATACACATTTTCATGTTCAGCTTGATAAACGAAGAAGTCAAGCTCCCTCCTGTAGTAATAACCTAGGTGTGGAGGAGGAGCGTGTGACACAGAGGGGTTGATTTACTAACCTTATAAACACACCACGAAAGTGTATACACCTCTGCAGTGTGTTCCCTCCCAGCATGATCTATGGGTGGAATCTAAACACCTTTGTAATGTGTACACACCCAGCAGGTGTGTTGTGCAAAGCCCTGAAGGAATTCCAAGGTGATGTTGGGTAAATTAGCTCTATGTTGTGTTGCTTGCGTTGATGAATGCAAGGAATGAAAATGCATGAGCTAACCATTTTTGTCTAAACTGTGAAGCAGCATTATATATGCATCATGTGCATGATTTTTCCATATATGGCATTAGTGGAAATATGCTTTTAGAGACTTTTTGGTTGATAAATACGTTTTGCTGTGTGAAAATCACACACACCTGGTGTGTGTGTGTGTGTTTAGGTTAGTAAATCACCCCCAGAAACTCCATTGCACCTCTGGAGAGAAATAAAGAAGCTGTATGACATTCAACACACCAGATTTCTTACAGTTTTTCATTTTCATAGCTGGGTGGAGTTGTTGTTTAAATTTTGCAGATGCTAAGCTGTTTTGAAACTCCGTGTGATAGCCCTAGGTTAAATGCTTTTCTGTATGTGAAGGTGATAACATGCCCTTTTCACGTAACATTCACACAAAGTTGTACTGAATAATAGCTCTCGGCTGCTGCATTGTATTTAAGAATAAGAGTGATCTTTTGCTAAATGGCAGTTCATTCAAATCTGTAACTGACAAAAATGGAAGAAATACTGTTTGCTACTACTACTGGGTCTGTTCTGAAACCATAATCCTAATGTATAGCTAGATGGTACAGAATGTGTTTAGCATTTGCTAATAATTTGACTCTTTTAATGGAACCATTCATGAGAGAATATTAGAAGCTGCCAATGCTGTAACGTTTGAGAATACTTGTTCCCTGACTGTCATGAAAATGCATTGGCTTCAATGCTGTCTGAGTTGCTAATCTGGAACAAGTAAAAAAAAAAACCCTTTCACACGGGCTGATCAGGAGAGCATCTGTGCACAGATACTCTCCTGATTACAGCAGTATGGAGCAAATGTCACTGCTGTGACATCCGCGTCCGTACAGTTTTTTCCTCCATCTTGGGATGGAGGAAAAAACTACAAATCTTGGACCCCGTGTCTGTCTATGTGGAAATGGATATAAACATCACAGTTATACAAATTAGTTACTACCATTACTAGTGATAAATTGTATACCCTACTGTGACATTCTGGCATACCCACACCTCTCATTTTATTGAATGATGCCATTTTCTAAGAGGTTCACATTGTAAAAGTGGTACTTGTGCTACTTGCAAAACAAAAGTTTGCAAAAGCTCCCCTCATCTTCCACGGGACTTACTATAATTGGAAATGCAGACCGCAGATCAGAAGCATGTTTCACAAATTCAGTTCCACTTCTTCAATAAAGACATGGCAGTATGTGAACTGTTTGTTAAACAAGACTTTCTTTATTTTAGGAATTGACAATATAATCAGAGCCAGTCATGCAGAAATCCTGTTTTTCAAAAATGCTTTTTTGCAACTGTGCTACGAGCTTAACTTGACAAAACCCTCTCCTGTTCCAAGCCCTTAGAAGTGTGCAGTGTAGTCTGCAGGAACCATTGCAACCTTACTAGGGCATGATGTATATACCAGAGGGGAAATGAAACACAGGACATATAATGAATAACAGTTGTTAAGTGGCCTCATAAAACATCACCAATATACCTGACATTTAGTGACCTCAGTTTAACAGTGTTATACGGAAAATATGTAGTCTATACTAAATAATATCTTCTATCCAAATATTTTTTTTCATAGGAAAAAATACTACTGTGGCTGCTTCAATTTATGCAAGAACAGGGGATTTCCCTTGATGAGACTGACAAATGTGGGAACAGTGCTGTTCATATAGCTTCACAGCATGGATATCTAGGCTGCATTCAGGTAACAAAAAATACTCTTCATCATTCTACTGGAAAACTTGGCAAAGATGTATTAGAGTTAAATCTCTAAGGGGGCATGTGTATAAATGATTCAATCAATGTCATTTTAATCACATGCACCAGGAAGATACATCTTTAGTGAATGCTTAGTGTATGTCACATTCACTGCTTTATAGATATACCCCTAAGATTTCAAGTAATATGTGGTTTACAGTTTAAAGAAGAGCAGAGGGCAATCACTTTTGCTGGGGTACAATGTCTATTATTTGCTACTGTTCTGCTGACTAACACACACCCCAAATAACAAAAAATTGTCAGGCTGCTTAAATTTTTTTACATTTATTAACCCCTTCCTGACTGGAGACGTGCACTGTACGTCCCCAGCATGAAGTGCCCAAATGACTGACCACGTACCCTGTACGTGATCAGCTATTTGGAGCTTTTAAAAGCCAGTAACCGCTGAGATCAGCAGTCACTGTTCATTAATGGATGCCTCAGTATTGAGGCATCCATTAATAAAGGAATTAAGCTTTTGTAAAAGCTTCTTTCATCAATGAAAGAATTAAGCTTTTACAGATACCTGATCAGCGATTGAGTATCTGACGATGACAACAGAGCCGTGTGAACGGCTATGCTATATCACTGTTTTGACAGCTTTGCACAGATAGGGATCTGTTTTGACCGCTCTGTACAGATCCCCATGTGTACAATGATACAATGTTTTATTTTGCTACATATTTCTATGCTTCATAGAAATATGTAGCAAAATGAAATTATTGTATCATTGTAATAAAAAACATTGTATCAGATTTTTCTAAGAACATCAGAAGTCTTTATTGACATCTGAATCTGACATGCTGCAGATTCAGTCACTAAGGTTATTATTGGCTTTTCCCAAGTATGAAGCAGCCTAATAATAACCAAAAATGCAAAATAAATAATTAAATTATCAAGCAGTCATAGTGGGTGCTTTATATAATAGACCAAAAAAGTGGAAAAAAGCGTAAAGTATAAAAAAGTGTAAAGAAATAAAAATAATTTAACAAAAGAAAAATGATATATACAAATATATTTTATCCTATAATTATTTTACAAATTAACCCCTTACAATGAAAATCTGCAGCTGAGCTGCAGATTTGTTTTTCACCCTAAGAGGTTAATTTTTCTATTTAACTCCCTCGTGACGGCGTTGTTCAAAGTATGTCGCTGTCACTAAGTGTGACAGTTATTGACACTTAGTTACAGTGACATTGTAGGCCACCTAACCTAATCACTATTCGGTTTTTAGAGAAAAAAAATAAAATGTTAGCTTTTTGTTTTTAGGCCCAGAAGTACAAAAACATTCTCAAATCCTAGGGATGTGAGGTGTTTCTAAATAAAGGACAAATATATAAATGTATTTTAATGCATTTTTTTTTAGCTGTACTATTTTTCTTAAAATAATAATCAAACTTGGGGAAAAGGTGTTTTCTTTAGGTTTTTTCCTCTTTTTAAAAATATTTTATTCATCCTGTGAGGCGTTAGCCGCACATATGTGATGTAATTATATTGCCCTATTTGCACTCAAAAAAAAATATATAATATGTGTGGATGCTATGGAAGAAACACACATCAGAAATGTAAAAAGTGCTTCAGTCATTGGGGAACAGAAACTGAAAAAAAAAGCTCAGTCGTGAAGGGGTTAAACAGTTTAAAAACAAAAGGCTATTCACAAACATAGGGGCACAAATAGTTTTAGCAATGATCCACGACTAGAAAGTGATCTCTAAGCAATCCAGACAGACATCCACACTCTTCAGTCCGGGTTGATAGACACCGGCATCAGCTGTAGTAGAAGCGGTTGACGCGTTTCCTGGGACTCCACTCTTTCATTGAGCCCTTGTTGCAAAGTCCCGTGCTTCAGGTAACGTCCCTTGCTGGAGCAGCCACAGTCCTACAACAAGTTTGTATCCCTCTGGCAGACTTGGATCCAAAAGTCTTTTTAGTTCACAGCACAATGACTGTCTCTACTTGGGCTGACACTCTCTCTTGTCAGCCCAAGTAGAGACAGGCATTGTGCTGTGGCTCTGATGAAGGGGGCGATCAAGTGTGGCTCTGATGAGGGGGGCGTGCCCCCGGGAAACGCGTTAGCCAAACACACGGACGAACAGCTGCGAGGTAGACCAATTTGTAATCCAGGTTCACCTTATTGATTAAGAGACCGTTCTCAGCGCTGCTTTTACTGAACCTTTGTGAGTATACATTTTACTACTGGTATGTCCAAAATAAAGGTGATTCTGCACATGTCTGGCGCTCTGTGTTGTTTTACAGATTTTAAAATATACTGTATGTTGAAATCACATCGTAATGCAACGGTGCATCTGATTCTAAACTATGCTTCACGTGTTGAGAAATTAGCAAATTATGTGTGGAGCTGTAGGTTACTCCAATGCTTAGTCAGGTACTGGATCTCATTAGAAGACTTGCTCAGGACAGCTGTAGACCTCATGAGGTTACATATCAAACATGCCAAGCTTTTTCTTCCAAGAGCAAAAAAAATGATAAGCTTGTTTATTCTTTTATAACCAGGAGGAGTTTCCCTTCATATTTACACCATTTACTGGTTATAGCTTGATTTAGCATTTGTTTTCATTGTGTACTCATTAGAGGTCTATAGATGACATGTCATGGACTCCATTTTGTTACATTTTGCTCTCAATTTTACAGGGATGTGTTGTTTTCCGTGTACATCTGCAAATATATGCAACTTGTTTGCCACAAATTTAGCCACCTACTCATCGTCACTCAGTTTCTTTACATCACAAATAATCAAACACTGCATGTTTGGAAATCTGCTGAAACAAATGCCATGGTCCCTGTGTGTGTTGTAAAGTAGCCACCGCTCCAAGCTCACTCCCATGATGGACTACAGAACTAGTAATTTAAATTGAGATTGTAGTCCATAACAGGAGCAAGCTTAGAGTGGTGACTACTTTACAACACACACAGGGACCATGGGGAACAAAAGTAGCCACCCTCCAGAAGGAAGGACAGTGTCAGCATGAATTCAGAGATGAGTTGAGGATCTGCAGCTGAGTGATGGACAAATAAGATACATTTAGTTTAATAGGGTACGTCAATAGGGTAGAGTTAAATGTCACTTTAAATTGAAAAGTATGCTATTTTGTTAATGGCCCCTGTTCCACTAACAGCCGGTAAGGTTCTGTTGCCTTTTGAAATTCAAAAACTAGTGATAAGCAGCAAGCTTTCAACACAGTTTCTTTCATCTCACTTTGCTAATAAAGGGAACACCGTTTATATTTTTTCCTTTTTATAGTTAGGCTCTACAGAATGTCCACTAAGATTTGGATGGTGTGAAGGTGTGAATTTAGCTTAAAACATGCTACCAGGCAAAGAGCGAGATAGGGGAAATGGGGGTGTACATCTAAAAAGAAGCTTTTAGTAGGTGTCTAATTTGTCTCAGAATGGTTAAAAAGAGCATCTACATTATTTCTTTCCCCTCTATTCTGTAATTGAAAACATATCAAGAGCTGTATTCCTTAAGAGTGTACCAGAGCCGATGCCAAAAGGTTGTCTGAATTTAATGAGTCAAGTTTTGGCAAAGTCTAAAACATTTTCTGTCCTATAAAATATACATTAATATAAAATAGACGGGCCAGCATTTCAAAAGCTTTACGCTTTGTGCCAGATACCATAAACTGATGCTTTTCATACAGAAAACAGCTTAGATAGCAAGTGTGCTCTTTGGACATTGTAATTGCTCATTTGTTGTTTTCTTATTTATTTTGATGGGCTAATGTAATATTTTAGTGTTACGACTGGCCGTCTAGTATAAGTGTCACATCTCTGATGAGGTGTGAATGTTTCATCAGTTTTAGCCAACCCATGCGGTCAGGCTGGAAGCACAGTGTGGATCTGTAGGCACAGAGCTGTGTAACATCAGAGTCTTTATCTGTCATAGCATGGACAGGAGACGGATATCGGGAGACACAAGCCGTTCATTGTTTCAATGAAATGTCTGTGGCGTTCTATACTCTCAAGTGCTGACCTTGGGCACAGAGCCGGATTTAGCTTTATCAGAGAGATAAAACATGTCTGGTTCCTAGTTTGTAAATAATGCAGTCTTAAATGTGAACTGTATTGTTATTTCTAAGAGGCTGTTAATGCCGTGAAGTGTTCAGTAGCGACAATTAGGTTTCATCTTCGATCCATTTATAAAATTGAAGGCTGATCCATTGGTGGAAAAGTAAGCACACTTTTTACATTGTGACACTCTCTGTCCTTCAAGAGGGTGGCTACTTTTGTTCCCCATGGTCCCTGTGTTTGTGGTAAAGTAGCCACCGCTCCAAGCAGGCCTGGATTCCCCACAAGGCCACCGAGGCCCTGCCCCGGGGCGGCAGGGTGCAGAGGGGCGGCAGCGGTGTTCTTGTGGGGAAGTTGCCCTCTCTACATTCAGTCCTGCTTTGCACAAGCAGGACTAAATGTAGAGTGAGGCAGACGATTTTTCGTTTACATGTGAACTCGGCGATGTCGCCGAGATCACATGTAAACAGTGTGCAGCCTCCTCCCCTCCCCCCTGCACTTACCTCTCTCTTTCGGTCCCGGGCTCCGCCGCCGAGTCTCTCACTGCGGTGAGCAGAGCGGCAGGGTTAAAAGTAACCCTGTCGCTCTGTGTAGACTGTGAGAGGGGAGAGCTGTGCTCTTCCTCTCTCACCTGTCACAGGAGTTCCAGCACAGAGCTGTGCTAACACTCCTGTATTGGAGGTGACAGGGTCAATAAAGAGAACCTGTCACCTCCAATTGCTATCACACAGCGAACAGGGAAAATTAAATAAATACAAATTTAAAAAAATTATATGAAATAATGAAATTAAAAAATGAAAAGGTGATTGAAAAGTAAAAAATAATAAGAAACAAATTATTAAAAAAATAGGAAAATAATTATAAAAAATAAACAATAATAAGATAAAAAAATAATAAAAAAGGAAATATGATAAATAAAAATCTAAAAAAATTAAATTGATTAAAAAAATAATTAAATAAATAAAAATGTAAAAAAATATGAAGAAATAATGAAATAAAAAAAATAAAAAGTGATAAAAAAGTTAAAAAAATTATAAAGAA